TGACGCTCATAATTATTAATTTAGTAATTAAATGTGTATTAGAAATTAAATGTATGCCAAAGTACATCAGGTGGAAAACAGAATAACGCTCATAATTATTAATTTAGTAATTAAATGTGTATTAGAAATTAAATGTATGCCAAAGTACATCAGGTGAAAAACAGAATAAATATTTAAACGTTTCTAGTATTAAAATATGAAATTTGTAACAAAGTTAAATAACCTTAAAATAACTTCAATGACTAAAAATGGAAAGCTTAATAAGAGAATATATTGCAATAATATTAGTGTGAATTTAGAACGACTTAAGAAGTCCAATTTTTAGATTTAATAAAGAGAATTTTTTAAATTACATTAGAACTGTTTATCTAAAATGGTAAATTTTAAAGTTAAAACCATTCTGCTATCTAAGAAGATTTGTTAATATTTATCTAGACAAGAAACTTATTTAAGGTAAGCTACAAATCCGATATTTGATAGGTTGATTATGTATCAGTTTTGTGTATCTACAACTTGGAAAGTTTTTAATTCTTACAGAGAATAAAAAAGTTCTGGCTCATCATTCCTTTAACTATCATAAAACTTTAAAATGAGGGTAAAAGAAATTTATTTTTACTTTAGCACACTCCAGACTTTAAATTAATATTTGTTTTGCATGCACAATTTTTACAATATTGATAAACGAAAATAAAGGCTTGCAGTCTCAATAGAATGTCCCATTAATGGTGATAAATGACTTTTTGTAGACTTAGGTAGTTTCTTCTTGGGAAAGAAATAGGGGATAGGAAACGTCGCGCAGTTCGTGTATTAGATAAGAGGGGGACGGAGATCTTCGATCAAATTTGGTGCAGTTCGTACCTTACCAGAAAAACTTGTTCCAAGTCCTAAAGAACGCACATTTTTTCGTTAAAAGTGAATTCCTCCCTCTTGTAAGCCAAACAATGGGTTTTGCAAGTTTTACGTTAATGAAATGGCTATAACTTAAATTCTGTTGAAGGTAGAATTATGAAAGCAATCTCAAATTAAAGTGCTAATTTTTCTGCATCTATCGATATTAAATTTTAAGGGTTTAACTTAATTTAAATTATGAAAATACTAGTTTATTACGTGAAAATTTACCAAGTTCCATTGTGTGAGTCATCGCGAATACAAGCAAGAATGTATGACGCTAGCTAAACTTTTGTGTGCAAGATCAGATAAATAATTGACCAAATAATACCAATAATTAATTGAATAAATACATGTTGTATAGCATAAAATTTAGAATAATTAATACATTAAATTTTGATAGCTGAAATTAGATTAATTACGTTAATTTGCTACACAACACCAAATATATTCATCAGTAAGAATTAAATTTATAAAAAGCGTTTTCCTTTATATTAAACGTAATTTCCCTGCTGAATTTGCTCCAAAAATTCCCAGCGGGTTTAAACAACACTTACTACTGAGAACATAAAGTGAATTAGAGTTTGAGAAAGCAGCGCCTCCTTTAGCTCTGCATCTGGTGAAGACCATAGATGAAACAAAATGAGTAGTGTGGACAAAGTGAGACGAAAGTATGAGTGGCCGCCATCAATCGACGAATAAGGTGAGTTTCTGGTGGAAGGTTCAAATCAGTGAAATGAAGAGTTTAGTATGAGTAAAAAATGTTAAGGATGGAGAATGCCAGATGGATATTGTGCTTTCTCTTGGGAAATGGAGAGCATCCAAGAGAGTTGATGCAGTTGTTTGGATGAGTGAGAACTGAATAGAAGAAATTTCTGGCAAGTTTTTTAATATAATCTTGAATTGTATCTACTTACGTGAGATCACGATAGATATACGAAGATAATCTAAGTGCTTTGTTTTGAAGAACTTCGATGTGTTGAAGATGAGTTTTGGCAGCGTGGCACCAGACAGGACTAGTATAGATAATGCTGGTCGAAGTATAAATTTATATAACAGGAGTTTATTTTAAGCTGGTATATGATTTCTTCTACAAAGAAGTGGGCGCATAGTTGCAAGCGTAATATTCATTTTTTTACAGTTTCCCTGAGATGTTAACAATTACAAATTCTGCAAAATAAAATTCTACAAGGAATTATCAATACTACTTGGTATATTCCAAACATCTACATTCACAGAGACCTTAAAATTGAACTTATTCAAGAGTATATTAAACAATTAGCGGTCAACTGCTTTTATTCAGTACAAAACCACAGTAATAGCCTTATTAGCACTCTCAGACACTCCCCGCATCCTAGTGAAAAACATCGGTACCCATGTGATATCCTACCCACATAAGAATTACAACCTTAATTGACTCATTCACGCTAAACTGACTCTGCGGTTTACCAACCGCGGCTACATCTTATAACGACACTGAACTTAGCCCCCTTTTCACCGCGGACCTGACTCTCTTTTTCCGCCTCCCATCTGATTCTTGTCAGAAGTCGAGTAAAAAGATGTTTCTACATCTTGACACTCGAGAATAAAATACGATCTGTGTGAAAAGTCAATTTTTTTTTTACCCAGAATCACTCGTAGATATTTAACTTCGTCAGCCCAGTCAATTTGTTCATCAAACAGAAGAGGTCTAGGTGGTGTGAAATTTGTTTGTCCTTTACAAAAAATTATTGCTCTTGATTTTTTAGTATTAACTGCAATCCTCCAAAGAGGGAGCCAATTTTCTAGATGATTGAGGTAAGGTTGAAGAAAGAGCTGGACAGCTGTAACCGTAGAAGCTTGGATCTTAATTGCAGTATCATTAGCGAAAACAGCAATGGTAATTTGTGGGCCTTTAATACTATCGTAAGTGTAAATGTTATATAAATATGTTGAAAGTACTGAACCTTGGCTCACTCCAGCGAAAATGTGTCTCTTGGTAGAAACAGAATTGTCAATTTTCGCTGCAAAGATTCTGTCTTGGAGATAGGAAGCCATAAGTTTAATACAATGATCGGGGAAGTTCAACCTGATAAGTTTGTATATAAGTTTCCGGTGCCATACTCTATCAAAAGCTTTCGCAATATTAAGGCAAATGGCTCTGATAGGGAACTTACAATTGAAACCGTCAGTAAAATAGTTGGTGACATGATGCATCTGGTGATTAGTACTGTGAAGATGACGGAAGCCAAATCGTTCTTCTGGAATATACAAGCTCTGTGGAATAATTTGATTAAGGTGATATAGAATAATTTTTTCAGCTATTATAGAAAGTTGACTGAGAAGAATAATTAGGCGGTATGTCTGTGGAAACGTTGAATTTTGATGCGGTTTTGGGAAGGCGACCATGATGCCATGATTCCATATATATAAAAAAGTAAGAGAATTTGATTATAGTATGATTGTTATCGTAGGAGGTAGTATAGGGAGTAAACGCTTCTTCTAGTATGTCTGCAAAGGTATTAGCTTTATCGTCGTCTGAATAATTCATTCCGTTGGTACCATGAAGTGGCGGAATTTGCTTGAAGAGTTTCTTAAATTTCTTTGCAGTGTCAAAAAGGAAATTATCTTCAGTTGCGAGAGAGTTGAGGAAGTTTTGCCAGCGTTGCGTCTTGAAGTTACTAATGTCCTTTTTGATGTCACGTTGAAGAGCGTTCAGTTGCGTTTTTAGACTTGGATCTCTTGTACTTTTCAGTTTTTCTTAATACGACTTTTGCATTTGATTTTTTTGTCTTATGTTGGCTGGAAGAGGAAGAACAGGATGGAAACTGATGAATTTATTGGTAGAGAAATTGATAGCATGTTGAATATAGGTGGTAGATTTCTTGATTTCAAACTCAATCTCGTCTTCATTGGTGATTTTTGAGATTTCCAGGAATGGCATCTGAAATGATTTTGTGAATTTTATCCAGTCAGTGACGCCAATACTCCTGCCCAGTGAAGGCTAAGGCTACTATAAAGGGTATCTGTAGTAGCTCTAGTGAAGGCAAGTAACTATTTATGAAGATTTCAAGAAAGATAGGATTATGGTCAGATGAGAGAGCTGGAATAACAGAAATTTGGCAATTATAGTCGATGTTGTTGGAAAGAAAAAAAAATCAACAAAATAATAGCTATTATAGCCGCAATGCGTGGCTTTATGAGTGGCATGAATGGTATAAATTTTATTTTGAATAATGCTAAGAATTTATCGTCCTTTTCTATTGCTAGCTCATTGATTCTTGGCGTTGAAATCTCCTCCAATTAAAGCAGGCGAGTTAAAATCTAGTAGCTGTTCAACTTCAGAAATGACTGGACTATTATTAAGAGGTATATAGATATTAGAGACAATGAATTTTTTGCGCTCAATTTGAATTTCAATAGCGTTGCTTTCAAAAGAGGTAGAAAAATTTTGTTTGAGTTGATGTTGGATGCTCCTTTTAATAAAAGTGATTGTGCCACCACCACGTCCGGTTTCTTAATCCGAACGGTAAGTAGAATAGCTTACGTAAAGCACTTTTAGTGCAGGTTTCAAATGCGTTTCCAATATAAGAATTACATCAGGTTCGAGTTCCAGAAGAAGATCGTCAAATTCGCCTTTCTTGTTAAATAGGCCATTAACATTCCATGAACGTGTGTGTGTGTGATTATGGCAAAGCCTCGAGGGCCATCTGACTAAGGGGAGGGATGCCTTCGTGGAGGACTTTCTAAGGGAAACTGTCTCGTATACACGTTACACATGGGGAAAACCACATATTCTATGAAAGAATTTTGATGTTTCTCATATTAATACGGAGTGGCATGTTAAAGGCAATAACTAATTTTGTCAAGAATGTCCACAATTCCACCTAAGCCAGTTAAATTTTGCCTGCCCCTCTTTTTTTTTTAATTTTTCGAAACCACTCTTGAGCTCAGTAGTTATGAGTATGAACTCAACAAGAAAAATGGTATTCTAATCAATTTATTCTCCTCGCCCATATTTAAAAGATTATACTAGTTAGGAGCTATTCCTCCATATTAAAGCTTTTATATATATAATAGCATTGCTAAAAAATTAGAATAACTGTTAACCGTATCATATTTATTTTTGTATTTTTAATTTTCCCCCTCTGTTTAAATTAGTCTAAATTTGAAGAGCAGTGTCGTAAAATTTTAAATTACAGTCAAGAATAAGTTTCATGGAGAAAAAGTTTGTATTTTCTTCTTTTTCACCGATTTATTAATTGGAAAGTAGTTAATGAACAATTATTTTTCATATTTATCATTATTTTGCGTTTTTCTCATGTTATAAAATGATTGAATATTGAACTTCGAAAAAATGCTGCGCTGTACAATTTCTTCGAATGATGTTATTTGTGTTCAGTGTACGTAATTTTTAAAACATAAATATTTAAAAAATTATGTATTCTCTGAGCTTTTTAAAATTCACGGACCTGTAATTATTTGCTGTAACAACAAAAATTTAAATTGTAGTGCCCGTTATTATTATCATCTTCATGCTTTGTTTAAATTAAGAATTTGAGCTGTGTTCATATATTTGATGAAACAGTAATTCAAAAGTGGTCTATTTTCTTTTCTTAACAAGAATGGATTTTGCAACTTAAACATTTTTCGTTCCTGTAATTAGTTTAAAAACTTTGTTTGGATAGGTGGAGCTTGTTATCCAGCGTGTAAGGTTTTTAAGTAAAAAATGTAGTCGGTTTTCATCAAAAACTATAATAATTCAACTCTTTCTTGTATTTAACTCATAAAAGGATTTAGTTCATGAGAATTCTTTTGGACATTTGTATAATGTGACAGCATTATTGATTTGTCAGAAATGCTGCTATTGAATTTAACTTACGTTACTTTTCATAAATGTCACTCATAATTCATATCAGTAACATAGCGATTTATGTTATTTGCTAAACCATATGTGTTTTATTGCTAATCCACTAATCTTTCATAAGCAGGGTAAGTTGGCACCAAACTATTTTGGCCCTCAAAATTTGGCAAATTTTTTTGGCGGCAATGACAGCACTAAGATGTAATTTTTAAACGTAAACAGAATAGTAACTTTGTTTAACTAAGTTTTGCAGTAGTGAAAAAGCCATTATTTTATGTAAACAGAATAGTACAAGTAAAATGACATGATCAAATACTAGATTTGTAAAACAAAGTCCATCAGCTTTGCAAGTAAAAACATAGTCCTATCCATGTAACTCATGATAAAATAGTATAACGAATAATAAAATAATAAATTGTATAACACTTTTCTTGGACTCCAAAATTGTCAACCAAGTAAATATATTCAAATTCACTAAGAAGGAATGCATCATAAACTCGCTAAAATATACAAGCTACTGTCATCGTGGAATTCAACATACTAAAGAACTTTTGTTCAAAACTTTAAACATTCCACATTTTTTGATTGCCACATGCAAGAAACAAAACTAAAAAAAAAAAGTAAATAATTGACCAGGAGAACATTAACTAAATAAAATTAAATGAAAACATTCATAAATTATAAACTTCACATCATCTGAAATCTATCATTCTCCCACCAACAACAGCTTAACCTCCTGCAAATATTAAACAGTAAAACTTTTAAAAACAAATCCAATATTTCAAAATTAAATTAAGAAATTATATATATATATTCTGGCTACACTAAACTCATAGTCATTACAATCACCGAAATAAAGCTCTAGGTTTGCCACAAGAAAACATACAGCCAGAAACCACAACCAAATCAAAACCGCTCCAGATAAAAAAACTCGCCAAGTTTTACGCTCAGCTCAATTATAGAAGATTAACTGGATAATCTTCCATAAGCGAAGTAAGTTGCCACCAAAGTGTTTTAACATTCAAAATTTGGCAAATTTTTTTGTAGCGGTGAGAGCACTGAGATGTCAATTTTGCAGTAATGAAATTTATGTAAACAGAATAGTAAAATAAGGTGGTAAAATACTAAATGAGTAAAACAAAGTCCATCAGCTTATCAAGTCAAAACATAGTCCTATCTGTGTAATTCATTATAAAATAGTATAATGAACAATTTTTTGAAATAATTCTTGAGTAAATATGTACACTTATGAGATCAGAGTACCGTGAAGTGAGTTTTAAAATAAACAGAAGAGTAAACTTTTGTTTACAGTGGTGAAGAGCGATTATTATGTGCAAACAGAATAGAAAATGAAATTGATTAAATGATAAAACAACGTCCATCAGCTTTGTGAGTAAAAACACTGTCCTGTCTTTTCAACTAAATCTGAATGAGTGACGTCTATAAATGGGTGGGACTAAGCTTGTGATGTCACCGTGTGTTCTCTACAGATGTAGAAACAAGTATAAGGGTTGCCCAAATGAAAATTGGACAAGTTGAAGAAAAATAATACCATTATTGTAAATCAAAAGAAGTCGCCATGGGCATTGAAACACAGGTCCCAGTTTTGCGGCAGCAGCTCGATGCTTTTGCTGTAGAAAGATTGGGGCTGATTCATGAGGAAGTCCTGCACGGCTTTCTTCACTCCATCATTCAAATGGAAACGTTTCCCCTGTAAGGCTCTCTTAAGTGGCCCAAAGATGTGAAAGTCGCAGGGTAACATGTCCGAACTGTACAGGAGGGGGTGCTCCAAAACCTCCCAACAGAATGTGTTTAAATTGCTCTGGGTTTCCTGGGAGATGTGTGGACGGGCATTGTCATGCAGAAGGATCATTCCTTGTGAGAAGGCCCGGCCGTTTGTTTTTTATTGCTTATTTCAGTTTCATCAGAGTACTGCAATATTGTGCAGAATTGACTGCTCTCTTGGGGCAAGAACTCGATTAAAAGTGGTCCACGAAGAAAAATGAAAGCATCACTTTCCATGCAGTTATCATTGCTTTCGATTTCCCTGGTGGAGGAGATGAGCTGTGTTTTCATTGCATACTCGTTTTCTTGGATTCGGGTGTGTAGTGGTGGCACCAGGTCTTGTCGCCTGCAATGATACAATCCAGAAATGTGGGATTCTCTTCATAACGAATCAAGTGCTGGAGACAGAAGCCCATTCGTTGTTTCTGATGATCAAGGATCAGGTGTTTTGGTACCCGTGCCGCACACACTTTGCTGTACCCCAGATGTTTGTAGATAATGGTGTTTGTAGATAATGCTGTCCTTTATTCAGGTTGAGTTCATGACTGATTTCGCAATTCGTAGCCCTTCGATTAGCTTGGATCATTTCATTAACAGAGGCAATGGAATTATTGGTGATCGCTTTGTTTGCTTGGCCTGGTCGCGGCAGATCCGATGTCGTTTGCCGCCCTTCACGGAAACTTTTACACCATCTGTTTACAGCCGTACGACCTAAACAGTGGTCACCATACACTGTCACCATTCTTCAATAGATGTCTGCCTTACGCTTACCTTCCGCAACCAGAAACTGTACTACCACGCGTTGCTCTGATCTGGACGCATCTATGGATAGCACGACTTTCCTTTCACACAATTTAATCTTCTACAAACAGGTTTCACGGTTAAACACCGTCTGAGATGCATACATCATACCACCCTTTATATACTTGTGTAGTGGCGCTGCTATCGATGCATTCATTCTGACATCGCACATGTCCACTTTTCATTTGAGCAACCCTTATATAATAAATTGTTTATATTTCAAATTACCATGATACCAATTAAAACTATAGATAACATCGCAGTCACTCATACTTGTGTTTCATATAGCTTCAGTTGGTTTTCCCCATGTGTAATGTGTGTACAAGCCAGTTTCCCTTAGAAAGTCCTCCACGAAGGCATCCCTCCCCTTAGGCAGATAGCCCTCAAGGCTCTGCCATAATCACACACACACACAGCTTCAGTATTTTTAAAAAAATAAAAAAATGTAAGCTTTAGCATTTGTACAAATAAAAGATTTTTTCTTTTAATTTAAGTTCCTATTATGGAACGTTTTAACTTTATCATTTTTAAAATTACCTTATTACTACATAATGACACATTCCCTTACATACCAGTAAGTAGACAATATTCATTATTTTCAAAAAAATTTAAACTTTACATTAATGAAAAAAGAAAAATATTTTTATTGCATATGAGCTTCATACACAGCTTTCATATCACTGTTTCTTAAATTCCTAAATCACATATTCATCGATATTTTAAACATTGCGCATAAAATAAGTGCACGTTACTGCTCGGCATCGAGCACAACCTCCCTTTGCCCATGTGCACAACGATCTGTATTCACTCAAAAAACATCAAAGAACTGCTCAAACTGGGTGTCCATGTACACATCGATCTATTTTCTTTCAAAGAACATTGGAGACTTGCAAAAACTTGGCATTGCGCACTGCCTTGGCTTTGCCCATTTACACATTGATCTGTTTTCACATAAAAAACATCAGAGAATTGCACAAACTCGACATCGTGCACAACCTCAGCATTGCGCACTATATTGTCTCAGCCCATGTACACAGCGATCTTTTAAAAAGAATCAGAGAATGGCACAAACTAGGCATTGCACACTGACTTTGTCCATGTACACATTGATCTATTTTCACTTAAAAAAAATCAGAGAATTGCTCCAACTCCTCATTGCACACTGCTTTGGCTTTGCCCATATACACATTGATCTAGTTTCACATCATATACACAGAGAATTGCACAAACTCGGCATTGCACACCTTGGCAAAAACTTTTCAATCTGTCATCATATTTTTAGCAGTACGTAATTCCGATCACACAAAATCATTCCCGCAGTTTCCCAACAACATATAAGTAACTCGCAAAACACCACACATGCTCAATTTACTCTTCACAAGTCACGAGTGCTTTCAAACAGACCTTGTAATTCGATGCTTACACTCGCTTCCAGTAACTCTAAAATATGCTAGTTACTATCATCATTGAATTCAACACACTAAACAACTTTCGCTCAAAATTTTAAACATACCACATCTCTCCATGACCAGATGCAAGAAACAAAACTAAAAAAAAGTAAATAATTGACCAGAAGAACATTAACTAAATAAAATTAAATGAAAACGTTCATAAATTATAAACTTCATGTCATCTGAAATCAAGCATTCTCCCACCAACAACAGTTTAACCTCCTGCAAATATTAAACAGTAAAACTTTTTAAAAAAAACACAGTATTTCAAAATTAAATTAAAAAAAAAAAAAAAAAAACTTCTGGTTACACTAAACTTGCACTCAT